AGTTATATTGATCTGTGCTAGCTTTAGACATGGTTAGATTCAGATGCCAAAAATGCTGTCAGAAATTTTTCTCTCCATTTCTGTAGACTCCTTTTATCCAGGTTAACTTTATTTTCAGTCAGGTTCTTCCTTTTTCCATCTGGTGGCAAGATAGTCACTAGTAATGTCAGGCTTGTGCTCTACTGGATTAGAAACACAGGTATCTCTGTCTCAGTGGTTTTACCAAATTCTCAGGTTAACTCATTGGACCATCCTGGGCCACATGCTCAATCCCTAATCAGTACCTGCCAGGGGTATGGAAATTGTGATGTGTCAGGCTCTGTTATGTTTCCACTCCTAGAGTATTGGAAGGTTGTCAGCCTTACCTGAAGCACATGCACTAAGAATGAGAGAGGGTATTTCCCAAAGGAAAATTAGGGTCTGTTGCCAGAAGAAGGAAGATCAGTATGGCTGAATGAAAGAATAAAAGAAAGGTACCCACTATTCATAGGCATTGCTTTATAAATATAAGTCCATGCATATATGGTATATAATATGGCAGCCCTTAAGTAGTCCATACTATTAATTGAGGTATCTTAAATTATAATGGAGCTTGTTTTAAATTTATATGAAAATATGGCTTTATGAAATAATTAATTTTTCTGCCATGATGATGAATTATGATTACAGACACTTTCATTTATTTATAAGACCATAATGAGTTTTAGTTCTTATTTGGCAAAGGAGTAAATTTGTTTTGCTTACTATTTATTTTTAATTGAAACATATCAACATTAAAACCTACCTATTTGGTATTTTTAATACTTTTTATAGGATTCCCATAGAGGTTCTTCTTTGGCTGCACATAGAGAAATAGTCATTTTATTTTTTCTGAAAAGCAGTTGATACTAGTAAAATTAGCATAATTATATTGTTAATCTTATAATTATTTGATAGTACATAATTATAAATCTAGGAACAGGGAAAATTTAAGTAGACATTTTTTTCTTTAAAAACAATACTTAAGCACATGATCACTATTAAAATGGGTTTAGGTGTGAATGGAACCTCTCCAACATAGAGATAACTAACTGGTCAACCTTACAGGACTGTCTGATAAAGAACAGGATACTTCTAGAACAAAAAATGTGAAAGACGTTTAGATACATAATAATCATTTTCTCTCAAAGATTTTCTTACCCCTTCTCCTTCCAGTTAGGCTTTGTGTCTACTTTGTACTCTTCATGTATTTATATAACAGCACTTTTAAGACTTCCCTGCACTGTTACATTTATACATCTTTTTCCACAACTAATCTAAAAGAAGGCAGGAGCAGTGTCATATATATCCTTTATCTCTAACTCCCAACACATGGCCTGGACCACTCAGTAAGCATTCCATTAATGATTGAATTGATGGTAGCAACTATAGAATAGTTCTGAAAACTGATTTGTAGCTGTCAACAGCATATCTGATTTAGTTAGTGTATGTTACACCAAATAATGTATATGCTGCTTAGAATCAGTTTTCTTTTTTTTAATTCCTGTCAATTCTTTAGAATAAGTACATACATACTTATGTTAGTCAGTATGTGGACAGACTTCACCAATGCAAATGAAGCCATACATATAATTAAAATTTGCTATTTATCATCTCATTGGGGAAGCAAACACTATCAGTGCGCAGACTTTTTCTTTGGTAAATGCTGTATTCCTATGTCTAAGAAATAAACAAGTAGCCATCTTACATAATTTTCCACCCTCCCTTTCTCTCCCCTACCCCACCCAGGATTCAGTAGCCCACTGTCTCCAAGCTTCCACACTGGTATCTCACTTCTTGGCTCTGACCTGACACATAAGATGGAAATAAAACACTACTTTTTCTAAGATATTAAGCACATGGATCAATTTTTGTTTTTGCCTCAACTTCTTTTCAGAGAGTTTGTTTCCTCTTTGTGTCCATATTAGATTAAGTGTGCAAATAGATATATATATTTTTTTTAAGTCTTCAAGGAAAAAAGTATAAATCTGAGAGGTTTTTCATTTCTTTGGGTCAAAAATAAAAGTTAGGTGACATGTTCCCTTGGCTAGGCTATTAAGTATTTACATTTTAAAAATTTGTAATTTAATAACTTTTTATACTTATATTTTCTTAAATGTTTAATTTAATATCTGAGATCAGTAACCTTATGCAGAATTATTACTATCTAAAGTTAAGAAGTGCTACTATAAATATTAATGTGCAATCATTAATGTTTTCTCTTAAATCATAACCCACACTTAGGTAGTTATATATGACAAATGTAAATTCTACAAACAAAAATGGGGAACATCAGTATTTGATAAAATAATTTATATAAGATTATTTCAAATAGTTAAAACTAAAATCCAGGGAATAGTACTTATTACATGAAGTTTGTTTTTTGTTCTTTTTTTTTTGTGGTCTGACAGTAATTCGAATTATAAGGACATCTTTAATATAAAGATAGATGGCATGGTGTCGTTTTCCATTTCCAAAGAGACAGATTTTTTGGAAGATGTTTATGGTTATGAGAAGTTCACACACCATTTCTGAACTATATGTTGTTTCAGAATTTTTTTTTGAATATTGAAAAGAAAGAAAAATGAGGAAAGGTGAAAACAAGAAAAGAAAGGACAAACCAATGTGCAATAATGGCAGTGTTGTGCACACATCAAGTTCTTTTGGAAGAATAGAACTAGTACAAGAGTTTTTACCAAAAAAGCTGTGGATGCAGTAAATATAGTATGAAACTGGTGTGCGATGTAATATAAATTAATGTCATCTTCACACATCTCATAGAAGCTTAAGGTGATTTTAGAATGGATGTTATAAATTTATATATTTCATTGCTTTTTACTGACAGTCAATAGGACAGTTCCCATAGTTGACCTTCCGTGTGCTCTTCTCTTCTTGGGTTATAATCATGCAGGTAATCATTACATTGGGCAAAACAATAGTGATATTAGAATTTAAAATAATTTAGGAACAGTTCTTATGAAAGTTTTAGTTAACTAATGTATTTTTCTTCATAAAAATTATGTTAAAACATAAAAATTATGTTAAAAACTACAGTTTGCCAGTATATAAATGTTTTCAACTATATAAAAAATATTCTGATTTTAAAAAGAAGTACTTATTTATAAAATATAATCATATTTAACATTCAGACATCATATTTAACAATCCTTAAAAGTAAATTTTCTCAGTACTTCATGTGCACAGGATAAAATATAAGGATGATTCTAATTCGTCTTTATAATTAGTGTGAGAAGTAATCATGGTTTAACTTCCTAATTATACTTTAACATACTGCAGCATTTCAGACAAATAATTTTCTACGAGAAAGTCTGTGAACAAAATTAACAAATTAACATGTTTTAAAAAATTATTTCTCAGCCTACTTCTTGAAACTGAATGCACTTAATCAGGAGGAATATAAAGGATATATTTGACATTCCTAAGAAATGTTTCTAGAAAATTTAGAATGTTTTCAATAAAATGAAATTATTTTATAGACAAATTGGAATGAAACAAAATCCCATTCCTATAAATTATATGTGTGGAAAAAAAGTTGTGTGTGTGTGTACATGTGTGTTAATACACGTAAACATATTTATGAGGTGACCCAGTCTAGAATTCGAATTTATACTTTTGCTGCTTGATACCTTCAAGAGCAAAATTGCCAGAAATGCATGGCTGTATTTCTTTAAAATATTTTTACCCAAATCTGTGTTTTAAAGATAGCATGGCAATTCTTGCTGAAAACTAGCTAATGAAATATTTCATAGAATATCTCAACTAAATTCCTGCTCAGATTTCAACAAGTCACTTCAACCTGCCATTTTAACATCTAGAACAAGGAAAGCAATTACTTTAGTGCTTTGTCAGTGACACAACACTCCCAGTTTTTGATCTTCCCAGTGAGTCACAAAACAGTGCCACACCTATCTTTGTGCTACCAGAATAAAATTTTTAATATTTATATTTTAATTTCGGGGGTTAGGAAAATACCTTCCTGATTTTATCCTTTTTATAATAGTATTTGATTGTAATTAAATAAATCCAAATAGGCTAGGTTTTGTGGTTGGATGTTTCAATACAAATTAACTAAAATGCCTCTATTCATATGGTCACATCGTATCTTTGCAATTATTCCTGTGATTTCAGTAAATTTTCAGTAACCTTTGATAATATGGTTGTAAGCCCTATTTTTTAAAATGTAGCTAAACTGCCAAAAAAGAGAATTATCTATGTAATTAAAATAGTCATTTTACAAATTTAAGTAGAACATCCAGGTAATATCATACTCAAATATCATTCTTCACCTCCCTAAAGTGATTGAAATTTTTTATCTTAACTATTTAGAAATGTCTGTTATTTTGATAAAGTTATGTGTTGTGTGTCAGTTTAATTGAAAAATCAAAATACCACTAGTAATAATTTTGTTGACCTCTGAAAATATTAGTCATGAAACAAGGTTTGAATAACACAAAAATTGGAACATGAAATTAATTTTCCGAAGGGACTCAAGCTAAAACTTTACAGCTTTTATCTTTACTAACTTTGCATCATAATCCTGCACTCTTTGCTTTTGTATGTTTTAGACCAAAGGTATTCTTAAAGCTACAAGAAGTGAAGAATATCAACAGTATTTTTATTTTGGCGCTATATAAAAATGTTACCATTGGTGTATAGTTATTGATACCCATTTTTTAGAACATACTAATTTCTTATAACTTTTGCAATGCACAAAGACTCCGGGAAAATTTTTAATGATTTTAAACTGAAATTGCATTTTCTTTTGGAAATTCTGATTTTACAAGATAATTGTATTAAAATGCGGCAAAAGTCGCTTTAGAGGTTGTGATATTTCTATCTTCCATAAATTATGTTTAAACTAATTTTCAATTTATTATTTTACTTTTTCTAGGATAGCAAAGTAATATAATGTGTATGCACAGAACAGAAGTATTATTTATACGTATTTTTTTTAATTACAGGTAAAGATTATAGTTCCCAACAGCACAGCAGGTCTGATAATAGGGAAGGGAGGTGCTACTGTGAAGGCTATAATGGAGCAGTCAGGGGCTTGGGTGCAGCTTTCCCAGAAACCTGATGGGATCAACTTGCAAGAGAGGGTTGTCACTGTGAGTGGAGAACCTGAACAAAACCGAAAAGCTGTTGAACTTATCATCCAGAAGATACAAGAGGATCCACAGAGTGGCAGCTGTCTCAATATCAGTTATGCCAATGTTACAGGTCCAGTGGCAAATTCCAATCCAACCGGATCTCCTTATGCAAACACTGCTGAAGTGTTACCAACTGCTGCCGCTGCCGCAGGGCTATTAGGACACGCTAACCTTGCTGGCGTTGCAGCCTTTCCAGCAGTTTTATCTGGCTTCACAGGCAATGACCTGGTGGCCATCACCTCTGCACTTAATACTTTAGCCAGCTACGGATATAATCTCAACACATTAGGTTTAGGTCTCAGCCAAGCAGCAGCAACAGGGGCCTTGGCTGCAGCAGCTGCCAGTGCCAACCCAGCAGCAGCAGCAGCCAATTTGTTGGCCACCTATGCCAGTGAAGCCTCAGCCAGTGGCAGCACAGCTGGTGGCACGGCGGGGACATTTGCATTAGGTAGCCTGGCTGCTGCTACTGCTGCAACCAATGGATATTTTGGAGCTGCTTCTCCCCTAGCTGCCAGTGCCATTCTAGGAACAGAAAAATCCACAGATGGATCAAAGGATGTAGTTGAAATAGCAGTGCCAGAAAACTTAGTTGGTGCAATACTTGGCAAAGGAGGGAAAACATTAGTGGAATACCAGGAGTTGACTGGTGCAAGGATACAGATCTCCAAAAAAGGAGAATTCGTACCTGGCACAAGGAATCGGAAGGTAACCATTACTGGAACACCAGCTGCAACACAGGCTGCTCAGTATTTAATTACACAAAGGATCACATATGAGCAAGGAGTGCGGGCTGCCAATCCTCAGAAAGTGGGTTGAGTGCCCCAATTATACATCAGATTGTTTTAACCCCTCCTTTACCCAATTTTCAAGAAGGATGTACTGTACTTTGCAGAAGTGAAGTTTTTCTGTTATTAATATATAATTATGCAAATGAATGCGACTATGTTGACAATGTGTATATGTAAATAATATGTGTTTTACCAGATGTTTCATAGAAAGAATTTTTTCTTGATCTGTTTTGTTCTCTATACTTTGCTTGTGTATATTTGTCAGAGGTGTTTCTAGTGTAAGATTTAAGCCTGCCATTTTACCAGCATTATTGTAGTTTAATGATTGAATGTAGACAGGGATATGCGTATAGTTTTCAGTATTAGTTCTAGATAACACTAAATTAACTACTGTTAGGTTGAGTATGGTGGGGTCAGTGACCTAAAATGGAGTGAGGCCAAAGCACTGTCATGTAAGTCTTACTTCCTGCTTAGGGCACAGTGAAGTAGGAGACAATATTTTGAAAATAAGTTTTAAATTTAAAATGATCAAAAAGCAATATAGTTGCATAAAAGCACTGTAAAATATTTAAAAGGTTAAAACTGTGGAAAATTATATTGGTAAGTTTACAGATCAATAAAAGCACCTGTTCTCCATCTGAACTAGACAATGGAAATAATGCTGCATGCTGGCCATGGCCCATTCTTCATCATTTGTAAGTTCAACAAAAGTTCTCACATGGAGTCCCACCTCTTCAGAGGTTTGTACATTTGTTTTTAAGCACTGAATTCACTACTGATCCCATCGCCTGGCCAGTAGAACAGTCATTACTCCATTAACATCCTCACTGTTTAGACACATAACTGTGGTACAGTGTATTGGAAATTTTATAAACAAAAGTGAAAGTGCCAACAAATTATTGATAGCTGATAATGTTTCATTATCTGCAACTGCTTGATAAGTATGTTGCATTTTAAGAGCTTATAATTGTGTATAATTTGTTAACACTAGAAACCTATTAGTATTGTGAATGTAGATTTTACTGTGAAGCTATCTGTGATTTAGCTGTTTGCTCCCATGATGGAGTCTTTGCAGCATGGCGCTAGCAGCCAATGCAGTTTCTAATACTCGGTAATTTGCATGTTTTGTGGAGCATTTTTATGTCACCAACCAGACAGTATTTCCTGCATGCTTATTTAGAAGAGGCAGTTTATCTTGAGAGGTAGTGTGATCTACCTTTGTCAGGCTTTTTGACAGGTCATTTCAAAGTAAGCCTTTGTTCCCAAGACCCAACAACTGTCACCCTCTTCTGTACCTCTCCTGAGTGCCAACTGTCCAGGCCATTTGACACACCATCTGTTAACCTCTGAGTTTGCCCACTCAAGGCCACTCATAGGGGCATCCATCCCCAAGCACCTCCTCATGCTGTGCATGCAGTCTTAAATTCAATGGACAAAAATAAAATGCTGGCTACCTCTGGATCATCTGGCTGAGCAACTGAATTACAAAAGAGAATTACTTCCATCTCAACTTCAACCCATTGATTACGTCCATCCTAGCAAGCTAAATGGCATCCCAGCTGCTCCTTTCTGTGCAACCAATTAAAGAACAATGAGTGTGATGCTCCATGTCTGAATTTCGTCCAGCCTCTCTCTGAACTGTGATCTTTGTCCTCATGAACTTTCCCTTTTGTTCATTGAACTATATGGACTCTTCATTTCATATTGATTTACTGTGCAATTTACTTTTGGACATTGAGAACTTGAAATTATTTCCTGATCCCTTCCCCTTCCACTATTAATAATTCATTTCTGTCAAACTGTAAGAGTAGATTCATTTTTTTTTTAGTTTTTAACATTGGACTGTTATTTCATTTAGAGTTCTCTATCTCTAAATATTTATTTAGAGAATGATTTTAAAAGGGAATGATATGCTTGTTTAAATGAAAGAGAAAAGCTGTAGTAAACTGTGTTAATTGGTAATGACTATTTATCGTCGATACTCTGTAGCTGTGTAAGTTTTGACAAATAGTGTATCTCGTGGAATCAGTGGTTAGCATTGCCGCTATTATATTTACTCATTTTATCATTATAAATGTGCTTAGTTCATCATGTAGCATCACTTGTCTCCCGTCTCATTTTTTCCTTGCATGTCACAAGTCTCAGATCATTTATAATACATTAACAGTAAATAATATCTATGTAAATTTCTTTCACCATGCTGTCTCAGAGTCAGCAGTGAACAAAGGCAAAGATTGGGGCCCCACTTAGTTGAAAAAGAGAAAGGAAGTAATCTAGGATGTGTATTAGAAGCATTTCAAATGTTGGGTCTTTAAAATGTTTTGTTCAGTCTTAGCAAATCTTCAACCTTTTATTTCAAAATTCCAGTAGTCCACTGTGGAGCCCATGCATTTCATCTGGAATTTAATGTTACTTTGAAGCCAAACCATTTAAACAATTATGTGTATTTTATTAGCTAGTATTGCTGAAAATTCACTCAGTTCAATTTTAATTGTAAATGGGAATTTTAAACTTTTGCTAGTTGGCATGGTTATATGTTAGTTAAATCTGAAAGCTAAATTGAAGATATTTACATTTTAATTTATGGTAACAGATAAGGGTTTGTGTGCATTATGTGTAAATCAGCTTCATGCTGTCTAAAAACTTATTCTCTGAAATTTATAGACCATGTAGAATTGATTTGTGATGTGATGCTTTAATTTACTGGAAGAAAATTAGTATGGCTTCAAACTGCCACAGGTAGGCATGTAACAATGGCTGTTCAGCTATACTGATCCAAAATGGAGAAAACTGATGATACAAGGGCCAAACATCTTATGAAATGCAACTATTTATAGACTTGTTTTGCTATAGGGAGGCTGGTGAACATGCTGAATATGAATTACCTCAGTTCTGCAGCTTTCTATGTCTTTTTAATGCATTCTGTTTCAGGGTCACTTTCAATCAATATTTCATTTACTTACTGAGATTGAATGGGCGCTCTGAGACACAGTGTGCTGTTTATCATACAGATTGGACACCTCATTCTAGATCCAAGATCTTTTCCTCAACACTGGGAGCTGTCCTTTCAGCACCACAAAATTACTGCTTGAAGTTGCATTGCAGTTTTTTTTTTCCTTTATCACTGGGAGCTTTTCTTTCAGCACCACAACATTGCACCTAGACTTTTTAAACGGCTGCCTTCCTCTTTGCACTGAAGACCAATTTCGTCTGCACTTCCAGTTATTGCTATTACCTGTAGGACTTTCAATCCTACTTCACCTCACCCACCCCACTCCTGAAACAGTTAAATGTATCTATTTCTGTGGAAGTCATTTTCTCATTGAATGATCAGAAACAAAGATAAATTCTAACCTGTAACGGCTCATTTCGACTCATTGCTTACAATAGATCTAAGCTCTTTTTTCTGCTTTTTCGACTCCTTCCAGCTTCCCATCACATCTGTAACAAACTTTTAAAATTATATTGCCACACCACCATGCACAGCCTACCTGCACAGTAGAGATAGATTATTCCATCGTATTCAGATGGTTAACAGAGGTTAGCAAGTCCTGTATTATATATTTATATCGCTTTCTAAGAAAGTGCATATTAATGTTTACTTTAAGAATGTGTAAATGGTGCTATCAAGAATCTGATAAATTTTATCCCAGTTTTTTGTGTACCACTTCTAATGTATGAGATTTATTTTTCTATTGGAAAAAAATAAACAGTATGAAAGCATTAAATTGGTAGATTTTAGTAATTTAACAATGAATGGAACCCCTATGTTACAGGCCCTATCTTTCCTTGGAAATTTTAATGGTGGTAATAGATTTCAACAAAGGTACTGATAATCACATTTTTTTAATCCATTCTTATATTGCATTCTTGATTCACGTGCTGATTCCTCACTGAGTCCTTAAGTAAATTTTACTTACTGTAAGTCTTCTCCAAGAAGGGAATTCTTGCTTTCCAAGGCAGCAATTGAAAAGAGATGAAAATATAATTTAATACTCTTTTACATCACAGACACGATTTGAGACCAGTTACTCTGTTAGTAGGAGAAATTCATCACTCATTAAATACAGGGCAAGCATGGCTATCCATAATAATTTTGGGTGCAATGCAGTCTTAGAAATTTAATGTACACACTTTATTTAAATGATGCAAACAGCCATATGAAATTGCACATGATTAGAAAGCAGAATGAACTCATTTTGCCTCCTGCTTGGTTTCTCATAAACATGAATACATAATATTGTTATGCACTGTTGTTCATAGATGTCTTATTACATAAAGGGTAAGTATCATATTACTTTAACAGATTATTTTTGGAATTCTGCATGTTATTTTTTGTTTCATCAGATATGTGCCCCAATAAAATAACATTTTTTTCCAAAAAAAATGAAAGTATTAGAAAACTTGTCATGTTAATTTTGAAAAAATGAAGTGTAGTACATATTACTAGATAGGATGTCATTCCACTGGTCTATATATTAAAAAAAAACTGTTCTTGAAAATTGAAGCATTACCTTGTGTAATTAATAAAGTAATCAAAACAGATTTGTAAATAAAATATTGTTTAAATCTAAAGTATTCAATATTTTGATTAGATTATTTTTTTAAGGAAAAATATTTAACGTGTATGTGCCGAATTTTTTTTTAAATAGTTTTTTATAATTGCAATGGAAGGGCAATTGTCTCATTACAAGTGGTACAGAAGCCAATACTTGGGTTACCATAGATATATAAACAAGTAAAAACTGTGGAACAAGTTTTAAGCTCATTTTGGAAAAAAAAAACAGTTCTGTAGAAATGCATATTTGTATTTGTTTCTCTAATAAATCTGCAAATAGCTTTAAACACAAATTAGTTTTAATTATTTAAATTATGAGTTCTCTTAAGTAATTTAACATCTGTTTTGCCTTACATTTGTGAAAACATTGTCTCATGGAAATTAATAGAGGCTTATTGTGAAAATCAAGGTAGGTCTGCATTTATTTGAAAAGGTCAGGTATTTAGCATTCAAGTATGTTTACCTCTATGAAATGATTAAAGAGAGAATTTTTACAAAAAACACTTCTCAACCCCTCCCCAATCACGTCAGTTTGGCCACTCCCCAAAAATAAAAGGCCAGTTTGTCTCAGCTTTAATTCCGTATCAAAGAAAACAGCAAAAAATAAGTGAAATCACATGTTCGAATGGTTGATAATAAAAAGATTATTTGATATAGATAACTGACTTCTTTACATATAGCAATGAAGAAATTTGAACTCTTCTGAACTGCAGTGCCTCAATCTTCTTTAATGTGATTTACATATTATGATTGAAATTGTTATATAAATTACATATATTTCCCTTGTATTGTGACCTTATAATAATTTATGTTGAAAATGTTTTAGGGTAAAATACAGTCTCTATTTTAAATCGTGTAGAGTCCCCATTTTTTAAAAACTGTCTTGTGGAAGATAAATATACTATATATATATATACATATATATAGTATATATATATATACATATATACTTACATCTTTCTTAATTGTTATTCTGCTTGAGCAGAAATGCTAAGCTTTTGATTAAGAACTCAATTGAGTATTCCAATACTGTTTAAACTACAAAGAGCATTCAAATTATAATGAAGTCTTTGACTTTACCAAATTAATTTTATTAGTAATAAAATGTTTTGGGAGATCTGGCTTATGAAAACTTAAGGCATTTTCTAAGATTGTCATTCATTGGCTTATCCAATTTTATAGCTTTTGATCAATAAGAAACATAGTGTTTCTGTCAATATTTAAGGTGGTGGGTAACTATATCTTTTTTTTTTTCTTGTAAGAAATTATTGTAAACTAAATTTCAAAATGACTTCTCAAAATTTCCACACTTTTAATGTTACATCATTTTTAAAAAATACTAATACATATCAAATCTTTAATAGATAAAGTAATGTATTAACAATATTTCAATATATTTAGCAACACATCTTGGATAGATTTTATCCTTTTATGTTATTTATGTATTTTACATTGCCTATTTTACAATATAAGTGCTGAAAAAGGTTCTGATTACAGGAAACCCATATACTTGTAGTGAGACCAATCCATGCTGAAATTGTTTATTGTAAAATAAACCATTACTTTTAGGGTTTAAAGCAGAGACAAGAATCTAATTGTAATTTTTAAAAATATTAGTAAAAAGAAAACCAAACAATTTTGAGTCCAATAAATCAAGGTTAATCATCATATTTTCCAAAATATCTTAGAATAAAAAGTAAAAACTCCCCAGTCAGTTCTGTACAGGATGTATTTTGTGGTATTCAAGTCCTTAGTAAAAAGTATTTTGTTAATAAATTCACCACTTAGGTGACACAGCTCTTAGAAGTTTTTAACATTTCTATCTTACATCAAGATTATATCTTGGGTTTCTTTTCTGAGGGAAGGGGGAATGTTGATACATAGGCAGATAGAGGATAAAAGCAATTATCAGAAGTGTTTACATTCAAACTACTTGTTTTATAAAAAATCACTTGGAAGGCTAAATTCTCAATTAGCTAGTTTCAATGCGATTTCCCCATTGCTTTGCCAGTAGAGAAAAGACTTTTGAGGTTGAACTTCCTCTGAAGTTTGACTTCATGAATTCTAGAAAATGTTACTTCTATATACACTACAAAGGCTTAATTTAAATTAGAGAACTTTATAAAATTCATTTTTATATTAAACTCATGAAACAATTTACACATTCTAGCAGATAGCTAAATATAACCATTGTAAATTATCTTAAGAACATGCTTATAATTTCACAAAGCTTTAAATAATCACCAATGTAGTTACTTTTGAACCTAAAAAACTCAGTGAAATTTTAAAGCCTTTTTTAAGGACTTTTTAAAAATTTTCTTGTAATCTGTCCTATTTAGGAACTACTTCATTAAAGATAATTTAATTGAATAGCTTTAAAAAAATCACACATTTCTTTCATTGACATCTCAGTTTTTAGTTTATGCATTAACTTTTATTATTTAGAACAGTTTTCTCTAGCTATTAAAGATATTTGAAGGTTGGATAGATGATTATAATGGTGCACTTTTTTGGAACTTTCTGGAAAGAAAATATACTGATGG